GAGGTGTCACACTGGTGTCTCCAGGAGCATTTGTTACAGAATCAACCTACTCAGCCTTCTTTTGCTGCAAGATGAATGTTAATCCTCTGAAGCTCCAGTCCCTCTGCTGCATCATCAGTAGGACTTTTGGAGCAATATTGTCCAAGAGATTGAGTGGTGCAATGGTGAGATAAAAGGAGGTACCCTTTCCCAAAGCAGGGAATCAAGAGAGAACACAGGTCACCTTGCAAGTATGTTACCTGAAATCAGTGTACCGGAATGCCTGCCCTTGGAGGTAGGCTGGAAGCATCATCTCATCACAGCCTTTTTGAAGGAGGAACACAAGGGGAAAACCATGCTGGACACAAGAAGGAGAAGCTTCTCAGACTAAGGGAGCAGCCACAAAATTTATCAAAGGAACTGCTGCCAAGTGCACAGGTGTGTGGAGCAGTAGGGCTTCTCAGGTGAAACCTTTTATGTCAATAAAAGTAGTTCCCAAACAGCTTAAAAATCCCACAGAAAAGTAGCCAAGAAGCTTAAGTAAGTTGATAAAATTTTGAGAGTAACTTTTCCACTGCTTTGAGACTATTTCAGAGTCAATCTTGCCCAAATGGAAACTCACATGAAGTTATGGTGATTCCTACACTCTCCCTGTTGGAAATGAGCTGATCCATAGCAGGATGTTCCTATGGGGATCAACAGATACTGTTTACAGATTCTTGTGTGACACATCTGGCTGGCACATGTGTGCCCTTTGGGCTGCTCTGACCAGCCAGCCCTGATGGTGGCCAAGACCAGTTTTTCTGGACAAGTTGTTAATAACAAGTTGCTGTGTTGAATGCAGTGGGGTGGAGGAAGACTTGAAGAAGCAGGAAAAAAAAATCCCAAAAAAGGATTAGAAAAAAGATATGTGAGAGGAGAAAAAAGGCTGGACAATATCACAGGGTGAAGCAAGCAGCTCATAACACAGCACAATTTAGTGCCATTTCCCGTGCTCTCAGCAACCTCTTGACCCTGGGCTGTACTGTGTCTTCAGGGGTTCCCTATGCCAAGCTGTCTCTGAGACTTTGTGATTCTTGCTTATGCTTAAGGTGAGAACACAGGGACTATAAATCAGTGAGCAGACTATAAAGGTTATTGTTTTCCCTTTATTACCTGGTTTTGAAATCAATCTGGAAGTTTTTCCTCTTGTTAGAAATCCTGATTTATGGCATGCAGAGGACAGTGAAAGCAGTGATAATACTGTAAACTCAGGGAAAGTTATGGTTAGCTTTTTACTCTAGGAAAGAGAAAGAAGCTGAGGAAATTGTACTGGTTTAGAGAATTACTGTGGCTGTACCTCTCCTCCTGGAATTAACAGACACTATATAAGCTGTTTACCCATTTCAGCTGCTACAACAGACAAAAAAACCCCAAGAAAAGTAACTACAGTCACCTTATCTTCACCAACCAGTTTCTGCAGCACAGCACTGGTTAAGAGAACAGCTAAGAAAGCAAATACAGCCAAGGCACCTTCCTTTTTCTTGTTAACCTTTAATATGAAAAAAAATCTGGCATTCTTTCCCTTGAGACTGCTGGTGTTCTGCTAAGCAGCTGAAGTGATGTGCATGACGTGGCAGTAAGCAGATCATGCTGTGACCATGAGGTTTGCTGTATCAGATAGCACAAAACTCACCGCAGTAAAATAGCTTGCTAAAATCCTTTGTATAGCTCTTTGAAATGTGCTGTTCACATCTCTCTAGCTGGCTGGATCTCTGAAATAAAAGGGAGATTGTAGTCCAGAATAAACCTACCTCTGTTCAGTGCTGCAATTTGCAAAACCTAATGCAAAGATATTAGAATAAAACCTGAAGGTTAGTGTAATCTCTTATTTCAAGATGGAGTAAGGACCTGCAGTTATTCCCCTCCCTTGGAAGCAGGAGTTGGTTTCCAAGGCCATGACTCGGAAGCTCATTTGCTTGTGACTGAAATGCTGTAAATGTGGAAAGTGGAAAATGTACCAGTCTCACTTGATCTGATCAAGCAGGAGATGCCAGACAATAGCAAGCTGCTGTCTACCATTTCATGGAACAAATGTCCATGTTTGTTAAGTCTATAGGGTAAATCTTGCTGCAAAGCAGTGCCAGTAAACCTACTCAGCCCTGCCAGATTTGGTGGCCTTTTTTCCTGAGGCCTTGTGAGGCTCTGTGATCCCTTGTCCTGGTATTCCTGGAGTCCTTGAACATGTCTGGTCTCCACAGTGTTTTTCATCACCAATGAGCTACTTATCCTGTGCCTGCCTGCTACATCCTCCTGACATTTTGTCTTGTGCTTTGCTGGGAAGGTCAGCCAGGCAGAACGGTTCTGATGTGTTTGGGAAGAAATAATTTATCCTTCAAGCTTTAATCCCTCAGAAGTAAGTTCTTGGGGGGGGATTTTACAAGAAAATTAAGGTTAGTGGCAAGTCTCCAAGCAGGCACTTATCAGAGTAGTGGAGAAGTTGATTAAACAGAATCACATGGTAGAAAATAAGCTGAGCACACATTGCCCTTAGTCTTATGCTCACTTAAGGCATGAGGCTCATACTTTTGAGCTCTACAAGCTTTTCAGTCCCTGAGCCAGGGAACAGGCAAATGTTTCACAGATAATATGATTGAGAAGCAATGATGTGCTGCAGCAGCCAACACTAAACTCCATTTTGCTATTTGGCTTGGAATAAGTGACCAATTGGCCTGGAGGACTGCTGTTCTAGAATAAAGCCTGAGCTATGGGCAAGTGTGACAGGACTGCCTGGAAGTATCCAGGTGGGTAAATGAAGGAGCGTGGCATCAATCCACAGTGCTCACACACACTGGGGAGTGACAAAGAATGGGCAACTCAGTGCTTGGTCTAACTGGAGGAGAGAAGAGGATACATTAAGGCTGCTGTGTACCTTTAGGAGAGGATAAATTAGGACCCAGAGTTGGCTCACCGTGTAAGAAATCAGCATTTCCTTCCATGTACTTACAGCTCTGAGGTAGTGGGAGGACAAACTTTCAAGTTGCTGTGGTTCCCAATGCTTCTTTGTTGATGACCATATAAGACTGCAGCTAAATGCTCTGTATGTACTGTAGGCCTGCAAGTGTGTGCTCAAAGGTCATCTCTAGCTTATCAGCCAGAAGCATATTACCTTGTTTTGGGTTTTTTTTCTGTCTCCATTTTGTGCTCTCCTCCTTCAGCCTGCCTACAACAGGCTTGTGGCCATTTTACTTGAGAGCAGAGTGTGTAGGCATGTTTTATATCATGGGGTGTCAATGACCTGACAAATGCAGGCATCTGAACTAAAGCTATGGTGCAGTTGCTGTGTGCCATGGAGCACAAGAACAGAGAAAGGAGAAATACTCAGTGTTTCCTGGTTACAAGCCAGGGACAAATTACCTGGTGTTTTAGAGAGGGCACTGCTTTTCTCCTGCTCCAAGCATCCCTGAGCAGTGGGGGAAGGAGGCTGTGCCTCAGCCAGTCCCTTGTCCAGGTCATGATTCGGGCAGCAGCTGCTTGGGTGCTCAGTGAAATTAAGCTTAACTGCCTGACATGCTGTGCACAGCCCTCAGGGCAGTGACATGGGGGAACTCACAAGAGTTCAGTTGAAAAGAGATGTTCCTTCCAAGAATGGAGTGACAGGGAAGAAAGGTGCTGCTGCCTGAGCTGGCTGTTAGGAGATCTCCACAGCTGCCCTGCAGATGTTTGGGGGAACAGAACTCACTGATTTCTGAGGATCCCTCTCACTCCAGCCAGGGCACCAGACCCCCTTGCACACCCACCTGTGGGCTGCATCTACCTTCACATTTCCTCTCAGCTCTCCTGGAAGTATGAGGGACTTCCTGTATTAGAAGTGTTTAAACCAAAAAAAATCACTGTTCAGAGAAAGAAAATTCATCCCCGATGGCTGATAAATACTAAAATAAATTATCTGGAAACAAAATTCCCATCTTTCTACACTTAATCCAATAAATTTTGGTTCTTGCCTACATGTCAGCGAACTTTTGTGGCCTCCTCTGGGAAGTCTCTCCCCTGCTGTCTCGCAGCCAGCTCTGGCTGTTCTCTGTCTTCTCTGACTCCTCTGCTCTGCAAACCTGCCTCTGTCCCTCACTGTGCCTGCCCCACAGGAGGCTTCTTCCAGCTGCTCCTTCCCTGAAAGTGACTTTTGCCGTCTCATGCATGCTTTCTGGAAAATCCTGCCTGACAAAGCAGCAGCAGGTCCCTGCTGCCTGGCAGTGTTTGAGAGCACTAGAACCTGCCACGGCTGCTGGGGGAATGGGCCTGTGCTGCTCTGCAGTGCAGAGGGGTACCCTCACCTACTGGAGGGTTTGAGGCATTCCCCTGAGAAATGGAGGGGTGTAAACCCCCCTGCATGGCCTATGCTGTGCACTTGAGCGAGCAGGGACAGAGTGGCCCCCCTGACCTCCCATGCCTGGCATCACTATAGCTGACCTGCAGCCCATAGAGGGGTCAGCTCTAAGAGCCCTGACAGTGAACTTCCACCTGAAGAGAATCATGAGGGCAAAAATCAATTTGTCTTCTCAGTGCTGCCCATCTCTTTGTGAATGCAGCACCTACAGACAGATCCCACCCTGTTTCTCTGCCTCTGCTTCCTTGCTTTTCTCCTGACTGCTTCTGCCCCTGCCTGTGCACTTTCTTCTCTGGCCCCCTTGCTGTCACATGCAGAGCCTGCCAAGCCAGTGTCCAGCCCAGGATCCTGTCTCACATGAGCCATTTGTCTTCTGCTCTTACTCTGTATAACTCCCTGCCTTGGCATGGGAAGCTTTATTCTCTGCATCAAGGGCTGTTTTCTCTTTCTTCTTGTTCAGAAAGCTAGGGCCAAAAGTGGTGGCCAAAAGTACGTGGTGGCTTTTAGTCATGTGGCTAATCACAGACCTACCTGACAGGACATGGCATCCTTTATTAACAGCACTTTCTCACAGGAGCCCTTTGGCTCTACCAGGAGCCATGCTCTCTTCTCAGTGACTGGCTTTCACATCATGTAATTCTCTCTTTCTTGACAGATTATATTATAACCTATGAGCACAGAAAGTCCTGATCCTCACGTTTCTCTGCTGTCACCTGTGGGCTCCTCCAGAGCTGTGAAGAAGGGGGAACTCCAGCCCCACCATGAGAAGACCGGGTGAGAAGTGCCTGTGACATCTTGGGGATCAGCCACACTTTGAGAGCCAGTTTTAGTTTTTATTTTTAGCAGTTATGAAGGACGGAAATTATGTTCTTCATTCAGTGGTGAATCACAGGAGCAGTTCTAAGTTCCCTCTCTGGGATGAGATTAAACATAATTTCATTAATGTGGGGAATATATGCTAATTTGAGCCACTTTAAGCAAGGGATGAATCAAGCTCACAGTGTGTTAGCAAGATTGTCTTCCAGGCAATATGGTACTTCAGACTTCCCCTCAGATAGATGTCTGTTGGTGCATCACATGCCTGTGGTGTCTTAGTCTTCAAGGAATAACGAATGTCTTCATTCCCCTCCTGATCAGGGTGGCTATGCTGCCTGAATAGTTGACCATGTGTGGGAAATCCAGCTGCACTACAGAGCAAACAGTCTGAGATGTAACTGGTTCTGCCTTGCTTTACCAAGACCTCTTCCTGTGTGTTCAACCTAGTTGGTTCTTGCCTGGCTTATTATTAGACTCATGCCCCACCATCACACCTCTATCTTGCCCTTAAAAATCTCAGGCTAACCCCATATCCCCTGCCCAATCTTACTCTCCTTTACATATGGCACTCACTCATTCCCTTTGCCTCTGATTGCCAAGGAAGGGAGTGGACTAGGCTGTAGCAGACACTGATGTCTTGTTTGACTGCTGGCAAGTCCATGAGGCCTAAATCCCTAAAAGAAACCTAGAGTTTCTCCATTCAGTGTAAGGAAGCTACATCCACTTCCAGGAACGACTTAGCTACTTAGCCTTCATCCTGCTGGCCCAAACTGGAGTTTAGGGATTTAATTCTCCACTCTGAACATGTGATTTAGTCCTTTAGATGCCCTGGGCCTTACAGTGCTGAACACAGCTCATAGGAGGAACCTTGAAAAGCACAGCTTTCTCTATTAGAGCCTCCACTGAGCTGTCATTTGAGCCTATGGCTAAGGAGGCAGGAGGTTGCATTTGTGAAAATCTGTAAAGTAACTTTGTCTCTGCACTGGAAAGGCCTTGGCAATGCTTAGCTGCCATATGCAGTCAACAAACTGTATGTATCTTCCCCGTGAAGGGTGAATCAGAGCAATAAGGGGCTGCAATGTGACTGTCAGGCACAAAACCAGCACCAGTCAGCCTTCTTCTTCCACCTTGCTACTTGAGTCTTCAAGGAGACCCCAGTTATGTCATCCTTTCCCGGCCCCAGCATCCCCCTTAACTCACACACTCTTGTCTGCACTCCCATTTAAGGGAAAGAACTTCACTATCTCTTGTAAACCTGCTGTCTCCTTAGTGCTGCTGTGTCAGTAAGCTGAGCCTGCAGCAAGAACTTTTGAGCATTTGTCTCTAGAGTTGAGCAATGTTATTGTGAGGGCTTTCCTGAGGGTAGGTAGGATAAACTTCTCCAAATTCAGACAGGTAGCGTAAGGCCACTGTTAGGTTGGCTGCAGAGGAAAAACTTCCCTGCCCCAAGCCCCACAGCTCATTGCCCAGTTACACTGCTCTGCTCCTGCACAAGCTGCTGGTGTTGGATTCTGCACACCCTGGAAGCAGACCTGCTGCTGCATCCTGCGAGTCAGCACCAGGCTGCTTCAGTAACTCATCTTTCCTTCCATTCACAGGTCTTCTACCCATGGCGACTCCACCCATGTGAGAGCTCTCTTATGTGAGTTCCCAGCAGCACACTTTGCTGTCTGTGGTCTGTGGACATTGACTGGCATCTAAGCGACACCCCTCCTCTCCCCCTAGACGCCACTGTCCTAGAGCCTCCATGTGCATTTGCTATGACATACATCAGTGTTGATGAGAGACAGGAACACTGCCGGGTGATCTCGAGCTGCCAAAATAATCAGCTCTGTGCACAACATGGCTTAAAGGATTTTTCATTTAGCAGTATGCATCCACTAAAGAACCTAGACACTGATATTTTTTCTGGGGACTTCCACACTCTTGCCTGCCACACAGGCAAGGCATCTTTGGCCAGTCCTGTGGAAAACCGGATGTATCGGAGTGTGGAAAACCTACACTGGGCAACAGCTGCTGACTGTGGGCTGTATTCTCACTGCCGGAGCCTGGATAACGAGATCATCTTTCGCTATAGAGGCACCAGTCAGTGGACAGAAGGCTGTGTGGATGTGGCCCCAGTACAGAGCACATCATACTCTCTGAGGAACCTTTCTCTCCGTGCTAAACAGACACCTCGAGCCGCACAGAATGTGCTCCTCCCTCCCTTTGACAAAGTGCCTCAGTGGCTCTTGCCTTCTGCAGAGGAAAGAGCCCTACACAGGGATGCCAGAAAAGAGCTGAAGGAGAAGCTGAGGCTGCACAGCAGTAAGGTGGCAGAGCCCTGTAAACCAGTGCGCCCACAGGTGGTCCTGCCTGAGCTGATGGCCCAGGAGTGCTTTGAATGCCAGGTGTGCCGACAGTGCAAGAATGGCTGTGCTGTGAGGTGCTGCACAGTGCTGGTGGAACACACTGCTCTCAGGCACAGCCTCACAGCGGGGCAGGGACTGTGCTTTGCACATAGGATCATCAGTCCAGAAGACATCAAGCAGGAGGCTCAGAGGAGGCTGCAGCTCCGAAGGCAGAATAGCTCCCCCAGTTTGCCCCTTCAGCATGCTGGGGAAAGTCGTGAGATGAGCAAATCCAGAACAGCAGAGACTGTAGAACAGTACAGTGGGGAAACAGATGGCAAAGTCACATTGGGACAGAGCAAGAAAGACCACTGCAAAGGGAGACTCTACATACCTACCTTTGAGGAGTTCAAGCAAATGAGAAGTAAGGAGAGAAATTCATCTGACAGCAGTAGTGGACCAGCAGATTACTTGAAAAAAGGTCTGCCTGCAAACCAGACACTGGAGAAGGAAAACAGTAAGAATGTCTGTCCAGAAGCTTTAGAGACCAAAGCTGTGAATGAACCTGCTGTCACAGCAGAGGAGGATGATGATGTATTTCATGAAAACCACAGCTCTGCTAGCTTTTCCCAAGACCCAGCCGCATGGGATGGTATCAAGATGAGCAGTCCTGAGGTGAAGGACAGAACCTTCCAGACCTCCATCCCAGATACATCACCAGTCCCTATTTGCTCCAGTCCTATTCCACGATCACCTCTTCAGGCAGGAGCAATGCATTGTGCTGGGGAGGAGATCTTCAGTGATGAGCAGCAGAAAGGAGAGACAAGACAATTAAATGATGTCCTCCACCTTGCAGGGCAGTCACTGTCTTCTGAAGACCAGTCCTCTTGCTGTTCATCGCTGCTGTTAGAAGCCACAGACTTATCAAGTTATGGAGCTAAGCTACAAAAAATGAAGGATGAATTCATAGGTTCAGCCTTGGAACTTATTAAGAAAAGGTAACATGCTCCGTGGGGTCACCTGAAAGCAGTTCCCTTGTTAATTATCTGGTCTTTCTCCTGATATGTACATAGAATTCCTGTAGCATAAATGTGCTGTTGGCAGAGCCTTTCATCTTGGAGTCTCTGATAGCCAAATGGACGTGTCTTTAAAGCTGTTCAGCTTAAATTCCACCTTGCGGAGGATTAAACATCAAAAAGCATTTTCATCTAGACTTTGCCTTTCTGTGCACCTTAATCCTGTAAAGACAACAGCCATTAGTAGTTCTGACACCCAGCTTCCCACCCATTTTATTTCTGTATTAAATTGTCGAAATGTCTTTTTTTTTTTTTTTTCTAATAGCATCTGTTAAAAGTAGAAGACAGCCAAAGGATACAAAGTACTGATATGATTCCTTTGAAGAAAGATGTAGAGTCTGTCCCACCACTGCAGGACATGAATTTAGATAGTGTGACATGCAGCAGCAAGTGCTTTCACTTGCTGCCTGAATGTAGTGAACAAGCACACAAGGGCAAGATGGCTGCTATGAGTCTTTAACCCTCTCTTGGAGACCTGCACAGGCAGTGAGTGAAAGTACTTGTAAATACTGTCCTTCTGTCATGTCTGTGTGGGCAGCCAGAGAAAATACTTCTGTAAAGCCTTCCTCTTTCTCCATCCAGGGTTTTATTCCTTCTCTGGGGAAGATATTCACAACGACTGCTTTCTCTATCCTGGTTTTGGACACAGCAGTCCTGTTACCTCCCTCCAGCCAAAAAGTGGGGTCCCTTTCAATGCAGGGTGGCACAGTAGGAATCAGCAAAATTCTAGAAGCTAGGAATTTGGAGAAGTTATCACTGTCTTATCACACTGATGGGAAAAGGAGGAGTAAGTGTTGGTGGAATGGTTTGTTTCCATGTGCATGGCTTTCATGGTTGGATTTGCCAAGAATTGCATTAGACTTGGTTCCTGGCTGCTTCTGCAATCCACAGATGGGTGTGAGAAATGCCAGGGCATCAACCTTGTATGCTGTCTTTTTATTTCTGGAATGCATGAGCTGAGACTCGACTATGGTTTTAGAGGAGATAATAGTGACTTCTGCACAGGAATGAGAGTTGTCTAAAAAACTTAAGTGGGGCTGAAGCCAGAATGACAGCAGAAATACTCCAGCTTTATAATCCAAAGGGAAGTAGGTGATGTCAGAGCCCTCAGTGCTTCTCTCAGCTGTGCAGCCTTGCCTTTCTGCTTTTCTTCTATGGTATGAAAACCCAATGAAGAGGTAGATGAAAAAGTTATGGGACGCAACCATTTTAATGGATTAGGCTATTTTTGTTATGAATGTGAAATGAAATACACAGAATGGCACAAGTAGTAAGGGTGTAAAAACATCTGTCTTTTCACAGATCAATGATTTTAATCAATGGCATCTTGAGCCCAAGCTGCATGCAGAGCAAAGTACAGGAAATTAGGAGTGCATATGATCTTCCTTCCTACTACTCTCCCAGCCTCCAACCGCTTCCTGCCCAGGGTCTTTATGTGTGGTTTCTGTGCTTTTAATATCCACACTGGTTTCAGTCTCTCTAGTTGGATTTGTTAAAATCTATGAAATAATTTTTATTAACATCAAAATGACAGTTGATCTAAAAATGTGAATGACAATGGGTCCAGTATTAGAGAGGTAGTTTTATATGTGAAGGAACCACCCTGGCCTTATTATTTTCTAGAGTAATAACAAGTAATGGTAATTGTTATTGCCAAAGCACTGGTTATTGGGAAACTCTGGTTTTTTCCTTTGTTTAGAAATTTATCATTTTTCCATAATTTTCACCTAAGACTGTAATATCCCTGAATATTCACTATTCCAGCTGATTTTCACTGCAGAGGTGGAAGATTTTTGTCTTCATTTTGGGTGCTAGATTATGATTGCTGGCATCTAGGCCACATTCTTTCTCAATCTCAAATGAAATTACTGAAAGCTGGGGATTTGGTCCCGTTTCCACAGATAGTCAGCTCAGCAAGCCTCTGATAGAGATGTTGTGATGGAGCATCTCAGAGTAAAATAGCTAAGACTGTCTTCTCTTTCTTGTGTTTCTGTGTAAGTGTCAGTTTTACAAAGCAGTTTTGTCTGTAAGTTAGCAGTCTCCATAGTAATTCATTGTTAATTATTTAAGATTTGTTCAATTGACTTAATATTTTGTCAATGAAGATTTGATTGTCAGTCTCATAATTATGGTGATTTTAGCCCCCTCATGGGTCACTGGATACCCTTAACTTAGGCTGTAGTCCTGGCTGGAAGGGATGTTGCTATCTAGGTCGAAATCTTGTAAGCTTTTCAGTATATAGTCCACTTTCTGGAATTGCTTAAGTGGGGAATTGTTCAGGATAAGGACATGCAAATACCTCAAGTTTGTGTCTATGAAATGAGGGACATGGTGACAACAGAAGGCTGCACAATTTAGCCAAGGACATGACTAAGAAAGAAGGCTTCCTGAAAAGAGTGATGGGCTGTATGTGGGGTAACAATAGGATAGTGGGTATAATACCAGCTTCCACTAGCAGAGGACTCCAAGTCAGGAATGCAGGTTACAGCAGGGAGGGCATGCACAAAAATGTTTCCATTAGTCAGAAAGAGTCAGGAACGTGTGTAAAGGGCTGAGAACTGCTGGCTTGGACAATGATAAAACCATAAAGAGGCACATAGAGACATAGTGAAGGAAAGCAGGTGCATTTCCAGTTGCACACCATCCCCCGTACTTCCACTTCCATGAGATTCAGAGTTGAAGGCCAGAGGTTTAAAAACACATTCAAAAAGAACCTGTGTTGGCCCAAGTGCATCACCTCTCTTGGGGAGAACAGGAAAAACTGACATCACCCCCAGGCACAAACTCCTGTCCAAATAAGTGATTTAATCCAACAGAAGGAAAGATGCTGGAGTCCCTCCTTCTGCCCCCCTCTGTGAGGGCAGAGGGAACTTGACTTGCTTGAGCAGGTGATGGTGTGAACCTGTTGGCAGCACAGATCTCAGCCAGGAGAAAGGGACTAGAGAAAGGAGCAATATCCTGGTTTCTTGGCATGTCCCCTCTTTCTCCTAAGCCAGAGGCAAAGGCTAAAGGAGCAGCGCTAAGATGTGGTTCCACAAAACTGCTTGTATCCTCCCTGTTTTGCCCACATCCCTCTGATCACACTCTGATCTGGTGGTGTGTGGAGCAGCACTTGCCCCAAGACCACATGGCCAGTACATCAAGCAGGAGGGATCTAATCATAACAATTAGAGCAGTCAAACTAGGGATGAAGAAATCTCCTTTCACACAATGTGGGCTCTGCATCATTGCCTTTCCTATCTCCAGCTGACCAGCCATGGGGTGGGTTGAATTTCTCAACCTTCAGTCATGTTTCCCTAGCTCAGCTCTCTGGGTAGTATTGACTCTTATTCCCACTGCAGATCACGTCTGGAGATTTTTTTTTAATATCCCTTTTGGGCTGTGGAAACCACAGTAAGTGGTGGCATCTGGTCTGTAGACCCTATCAACAGAGAGCTGCTGTCAGCTTAACTTAGAGGAGCAGCAATACTCTGGAGTGTTTCCCATATTTAAGTGGATGATCTTGAAGCACTGTGAAAATGACAAATGAAAGCTCAGCATCTCTCTTGAGAGTATATTCTGCATAGTGGGATATGGTGTGATCAAGAAGATAATATTCCAGTTAGGAGCTCTACTAACCTTAGATGCATCCCATTGCCTCTCTGTGCCCCAGTGTGGTCCCTTTTCTGTGTTACTTAACCAGGAACTGTTTGAGTAGGAGCAGCTTTTGGAAAGGGTGATTTTCAGCAGTGGCACATCCTCTTCAAGAACTTTCTTGCTCCTTAACCTGTGCCTTCCCTCCCATGGGTTTGCCCAGCTGATCTGTTCATACTTTACACAACTCAATGAAACATGGATGAAATTATCTGTCTAAGAATACATGAGGGAGGGTTTTTAAACCCATATAATTTCAAGGTTGATTTTAGATCATGGCCACACAGACAGTTACACACATATAAGGAGTGGTACCCCAAGCATGGCTGGGGACAGGAGAGGAAGGAGACAGGAGCCTCACAAGCCAGACCAGGGCAGGCCAGCACCATGGTGAGACTGCAGCCTTGCTGTGTGCCTGTGCTGCTCTTACTGCCACCTTGTAAGTGCTACAGACTGCTCTGTGCCAGCAGTGATGTTGGTATCCCCTTTCTACAGGCTGGGGGTAGAGACCTGGAGGGGGACAGCAAGAAGCAAATGCCAGGAGCCTGCTGTTGGCACTGTTGCCGTTGCTGTGTAGCCACAGCTAAAAAACTCTTTTTAACTGGTTATGTCAGCAGGGACCTGGAAACATAAATGGAGGAAGATGAAAAAGCATCAGCTGGAGAGATGCAAACCAACTTTTCTGGCCTGACAACAGAGCCAGTTTGTGTTCTGGGAGATTTGTTCCTCCTTCAGTGATTTTAGTATTTGGCTGATGGTTTGTAATTGGAGCCAACTGTCATTCACTGCAAGGAGAATGCCCATCTGTCTCATGTGTTTGCTTGTAGTTGACACTGTTGGAATTGCACATTAGCAGTGTGACCTACCAGCATAAGTTCACAAGTGAAGCTTTTAAGAAGAAGCAGATTTTTCTCATAGGAGGTTTTTGTTAAGTATAAAATACATGCAGAACCTGAAATATGTTCCAGACACTGGCTTCCTGTATATACAAGCATCCATATACAGTCCTCACAACCTGCCTTTTTAAAGGAATCCAAGTCCATAAAAATTAAGTAAACCCAAAATAAAAAAAAATAATATTCTTCCCAACAGGCTTCATTATGCATGGAAATAAGATGTCTTAGAGAGTCTGTTAAAAAAATGCATCACAAATAGTATCACAAACAACAACCTGTCAACTACTCTGTCGAGTCGGTGGTTTTGCACCAGACTGTGCCTGTCTGGAGAGTGATGCTATCTGTGGAGGAGGGAGTGTGGGGTTGGACAGGCTGCCTGTATTAGCCAGGCCAGGCCCTTGTTAGCACTGGACAGCCATGAATGAGGGCGTCCAGAACTGCCAAGTGAGAGCAACAGACACTGCCACTCTTTTCAGGTCTCAAGTGCACCAAAAGGCCTGATCCTGGGTTCACTGAAAACAGATAGTATCTATCCAGTGACTACAGTGGGCTTGGGATCATATGAGAGGAAAAACAGAGGGAATACTCCTTTAATCCTCTAATCCCTTCAAAGTATTATGATTTATAGCAGATGATCTTCTTCCAGATGAGCAATATGCTTTCTGTGTTGGCAGTATCTCCTTAAATAGCAGCAAATATGGATATGGTCTACTTAGAAAGGAGTGTTTCTCGTCCCTATGGAGCACCTCATGTTTTATGGACACAAAAATGCCCTGTGAACAGCTGAGACTTGATAACCCAGACTGATGTTTCCACAAGTGCAGTTACCCAATTTGCATGGTCTTTACTGAGCTGTGCTTAGAGCCCCTGAAAAACAAACACAGCCATCCATGCTGACCAGTCACCATCCCCGCCTGCACCTTCCCTGAACTGTTGCAGATCGTTGTTTGAACCTGAGCTTGCTGCTCAGTCTCATCTGTGTCAGGAACAGCAGGAGAACTGCATCCGTGATGTTCAATGGAGTCTGCTTCTTCCCTTGCAGCTGCAATGCTGAGACTGCTGCCAAATCCCCCTCCAAGGGGCGCTGTGATCTGAGGGAAGCTGATCTCCCACCTCTGGAGGACAGCCAGCAGCCCACAGCGATGTCCATGGCAACAGAGACCTGGGAGGACAAGCCAAGCAATGAGACATCCAGTGACACTCCACCTGCAGGGAATGTAAGGGAGAGGAATTCCCCTCTCATATGTGTGTTTAGGATTTTTTCCTTGTTAGGAGCTCTGAAGGATCCTTTCATTGTAGGAACTGGGGAGGCTGGGAGATGGCAATCTGATATTGACTCCCATGAGTGATTAAACTCTGCTAGAAGCATTAGAAGCTTTTTTATTACACTCAGTAAAACAGGAGTGAGTTTTTTGCTCCTGCCTATGTGCCACTGCATTTTGTGCAGGGAGTTCAGCAATAGCCCCTTCATGGCTTTCAGTGTATTTGGGGGTTCAGACAGATTCCCTCTTAGTGCCCCCTTGGGCAAGCTGCTGGTGCAGGTGGGGCATGGAGGCTGGACTTCCTGACCCTGCAGTGCTGAAACATTTACAGAGCAGCTGCAAGTCAGCTCAGGTCCCTGAGCATGGACCCTTAGCCAAGTCTGTGCTCTTGACTTCTTCATGGTTATTTGACAGCTGTGATCCAACCACCTCAGAGCCACTGTACTCAGAGCTATACAACAGCAAAAAGAGAGGGGTCCTTACTTGTTAGAGCTGAGCAAGACAGAGGGAATCAGGGGAACAGATTTCTTAATCATCGTGTAGCAGAGCTACATTTGCAATCCCATTGCTGATGAGTTTCCTTTTCTCTCCTTTGGCAACTGAAGCCCAGTGTCTGCAAGACCAGGTGCTGCTTTGACCTCAGCCTTGCTCCAAACCCTTTCTTGCCTTTCTTGCAGACCCCCAGTCCTGCCTGTCGCCGATCCAGCTCCGACATTGTCCATGAGAGCACAGATGGTGCCAAGGCCCAGCGGGAGTGCCGGCTACGGCCACACTTCAGTGACCCAATGCCAACAGACTCGGTGAAGAGGAAGCAGCTGGAGCTGAAGATTGCAGCTGCAGCACGGCAGCATGCACAGAAGCGCCGGCAGGAGCGAGACTATGGTACACACACTGCACTCGGGGGCTCATGGGCCAGATGCTGGGCCTTGCTGTGCTCCTGTAAATGTGGAGCAACTCTACAAACTAGGGGAGGGAAGCATCCTGGCTTGTAACCAGGTGTGCAGGAAATCAGGATCTACTCTGCTCTGTCCCTGACTGGTAGATGGCAGGGGAAGAGGCAGCCCAAATGAGTTCACAGTTGTGGGCAGCGTAGAGATGACAGATCCCAGACTTCATCTGTGAGCCGTTTATTTCTGACTCTCACCAGTCTCGGCAGCAAAACTGGGTGGGGAGGCAGCTCACAGCCTAGCTTCACCAAGCCAGCCTGTTCCCTCAGGGTTTCTGCCATTCATAGCTGTGCCAGCATGAGTTCCTCCGGTGAGTTCTGTGCAGCTGGCAGTGCCTGTAATGATTTGTGTCTGTTCTCAGGTCCAGTGGTAGCAAAGGCCAACCTTGGGCATGGTGGCAGCTTTGATGAGACCCGACGCACCCCACGGGGCTCCCTCCGCTCCAGACATCACTGGAGCAATGTCAGCAGTCTGAGCACGGACAGCGGGATTGTTGGTGTGAATGATGCCCGGGATGACCTGGATCCCACCGAGGCCACCCGGACCAAGTCAGCAGATGTGGAGAGGGCGGATAGTGGCATTGGCCAGATGCCAGCTAGGAAGTGGAGGAACAGGGCATCTGAAACGCTGAGCTCCCTGCAGGCGTGGGAAGCCCACCGTCCCTGCACCGATTGTGGAGAAAGGGACCTCCCGGTGGAGACAGATGTTCAGAACTGCAACCAGAGGCGGGCTGATCTCTGTGAGAAGTGCCACAAGCGCAGGACGGAACGCAAGGAGTCTGTGCTGGAATTTGTCAACACAGAGGCCAGCTATGGAGAGGACCTGCGCATCATCAAAGAGGAGTTCTACCTCCCCATGCAGGCGGCTGGGCTGCTGAGCCAGGAGCAGCTCCAGGGCATCTTCAGCAACATCCAGGAGCTCATTGACCTCAATGAGAATTTCCTGGAGATACTTCAAGAAGAGATTGATCAGGCCTTTGATCAGGTATGATGCTGCCTCTGCCCTCTAAATGGGCTGGGCCGGGCAGACTGGAATAGGTTTTGTATTAGGGGGGCAGCACAGGTGGAGCAGAGGAACAAGAGGTAGGACTCCTGAGTTATGGTCAGCTATCAGTCCCTTGCTCTCTCAGCTATTCTGATTTCAGTAGCTCTGTGTCAGATCACAGATGTTGGACTCACTGTGCTGTGGTGATGCCACTGACATCAGCAGTCTTGCTCATTTATCCCATTAACAGACTATTAACAGGTCTTAATGGTCCCATTATCAAAGTTAGCTTTAGGCCAGTTGGCCTGGATGCTGGTAAGAATGTGACCATGGGGGAGCAAAGCTCAGCTTGCTCTGTCTCTCAGGCTGTGCTCTTGCAGTGCTGAGCTGGCTGGCTTCATGCTGGCTCGGCTGTGTTTGCCTTGGCTTGCAGTTTACTGCAGCTTGGCTCTAGGCTGTCCGGAGGGCCAGGCAGTGCAGGCTGCTCCCTGCTCTACAGCTATGTATGGCTACTTCTACTGATGCACCCTGTCTTGCACAAGGAGCTTTCCTGCCCCACCAGCAGGTTGGTCACAGGGCAGAGAAATAGAAATAAGCCTGTGGGGCCACAATATATCCTCTTGACTAAGAGGCTCAATCTGGCCTTCAAGCCCTTGTTCTGATGAGCTGGCTGAGCCCACAGGAGGAGGGCAGACAGCTCTTTGCATGTGGTAGAGAAAGCACTTAGACCAGGTTTCCTTCCCCTCCCCAGGTACTGATTCCCCCCAGACCTGCAGGAACTGCCTTTCTACCTGGAAGGGTGAGCCCAGCTCCGCCTTTGGTCTGGTGCTCAGCAGATCCTGCAGCAGTTCGTGCTGATAGGACTGAAGGCAGGCCCGTGGCTGTGCCTCTCGTGAGCTAACTGAGCAGGGCTCTATTGCAGGGGGATGATGACCTCATGACCGTGTGCATCGGAGAAATATTCCTGGAATTCGTAAACATGCTGCCAGCCTTTCAGACATACTGTCTTCAGCAGTCCTCCTCTGTGAATATGCTCAACGCTCTGGAGAAGGAGAAGGAGTTGCTCAGGTGAGAAAGGAGATGAACATATTCCTCCAGGCTTTGGGGACAGAAAGGCAGCAGGCTGAGGGTGAAGCCTTTGCCAGCCCATCTAGATCAAAGTTTTATGCTAATGTTCTTCAGTTATCACTGCTTTCTCTTGGAATGAGGACAGTCATTTATTCTCAAAAAATATTCAGTCCTTGGTCTCCCCTAAGGCAACCAGTTGGTCCCCAGCTGTACTCAATGTTTTGTGCTAGCAGTATCTGCCCAGAGACCACTGTGCTGAACTGTCACCAAATAACACTCAGCTGAGATCAGCTCTCAGTCCCCGTGCTGGAGCCCAGGTTGGATTTCCACTGCAGAAAGCCACTTTGTGGCACACATGACTTGAATTTGGTTCCCATTCCTAGCCTTGGTCTGTTGGGCAATGTCAGCCGAGTCATTTCACTTTCCACTGCTCAGCCAAATTCTTGTTTAATATGCTTTGTAATCTAATGAAAGACATTACGAGTTAATGCAATCTGATATAAACTGATGTATCTGCCTCATGTTTACGTCAGTGGGTACCAGAGAAAGATCACACCCTTGCTATTTTTATGATGTAATAGAAGACTGTTAGGATGTTATGTGTAAGTGTCTCAGGCACCTCATTAGGATTCTGCAGCTGAGCACAGCTGCAGAAATGGTTGTTAGTCTTTAATAAGACAGAATTCACAAGGTTGCTAAAAATGGGGGGGCTGCAGTGCAGTGCCCAGCAGCTGTTAGCAGCACGCTGTTCATTTGCATTTAGGATTGCAGCATCTGCTGGCAGAACAACCACCATTTCATCCTGTCTTCTTAAATCCCTGCAGAATATTCCTCAATGTCTCCCAGAATGACAACACAGCACTGCGGCGGATGAACTTGAGGTCCTTCCTGATGGCCCCTTTGCAGAGGGTCACCAAGTACCCCCTGCTGCTCAGCAGAATCATCAAGGCCACCACCGAGTACCACCCAGACCACGGCAGCCTGCGGGAGGCCAAGAGCCGCATCGAGTCCCACCTGGAGCACATCAACATGAAAACCAAGCAGGAGGGGAACACGTGGACCCTCCGGTCCTTTCGCCAGGACAGCAAGAAGAAGAGGGAAGTCATCAACATTGAGATGAGAGAAACTGCCCTCAAAACTGTCGGCTGGCTGCGGGAGGAGACGCGGTTTGTGATGGAGGGGTCTCTGCAGCTGGCCCAGCCCCCTGACGGCCAGTGGGTGAAGAAAGGCAGCAAGACCCTGAAGTTCCAGAATATGCAGGTCCTCCTCCTGGTGAACATGAAGCGTGTGTCCGAGTCCAGCCTGGAATCAGCTGAGCCAGGGCCCGTGAAGGATGCAGTGCTGGTACTCATCAGGGACAAAAATAATGGGAAGTTTCATTTGCTCAGGGAGCCCTTGAGGCTGAGTAACTGCATCGTCTCCACTGATCCCGACTGCGACGACACCTTTGAACTGATTGAGATCAGGCGGGAGGCGTTTGTGTTCCGGGACAGCGACCGGGCGCGGACTCACCACTGGTTCAGGCAGATCAGGCGCTACTCCAGGGAGCTGGGCTCCTGGAAGAAACGGCGGAACGCGCTGCCCAACATCATGATCAGCACTCCTCACACCAGGCCCTGAGTCCTGCACGGGCAGCCACGCTTGGCTTCACCAGTGCCACATCCATAGACCATTGAGAGCCCCAGTGGCCTGGACTTGCTCCGTGGACAACACAGGGAGGAGCCTGGTCCCCAAAGACTCTTACCAGCACTGGAAGCAAACACCACGGCCTGGTGCTGCTCTTCAACCTCTGGACTCACAATAGTTTGTGGCTCATGTACATACAGAGATGGGCTCCCCTCGAGGAGATCACCGAAGGATAATAATTTAACTTGTTAATGTTGCACTGCAGGAGAATGATGTATGATGCTTGCCATTGCATGGATCGTGTTGAAAGCCAGTCTTGACAATGAGAGAGGTTTCCACTATTGACTATATTTCATCAGCATTATGTAAAATCTGAGAACTCAGCAAAATTAGGTGCAGTATTATGCAACAGAGGATGAAAGCTGGAAAAGATTATGTTTTCCACCATTACTCCTAAGGACT